CTGTTTTGCTCATTGTTTATCCCCAACACCTAGGAGACTGTCACAAAGTATGTGCTCCACAAATGTGCAGAACAAAATATGGCCTTTCACCTCTGCAACATGAGCTCCAAGTGCCTTGGGGTGGAAGAGGAGCTCTCGGCCCCGGAGCTGGGATGAAGCAGAGGCAAAGGGAGACCGTCAGCCGGGGGATGTCTGGTGTGCTGCCCTTAGGGAAGGTGGTACTTGGTGGAGTCGGTCTTTGGCTTCTGTCCCTTTCCTTCCCCATGCTTGCCCTCCCTGAACTTCTTTTTCCTGGGGTGGTCAGCGGCGGCCTTGGACAGATGCTTTTGCTGAGATGAATGGCCTGGTCTTCTTGGCAGCCTCAGGTGGTGTTTCCAACCATATCCTGACCTGAGATCAGTTGGTGATTTCAAAGAACTCTGGGGACAGAGCCTCTCAGCCTGTGGTTCTCAACTGGAAACTGTTTTTACCCCTCAGGACATTTGGCAATTCCAGAAACACCTTTGGTTGTTACAGCTGGGGGAGTGCCACTGGCATCTAGTGGGTAGAACCTAGGGATCCTGCAAATGTACCCCACAGGATAGCATTATCCAGAGTTAGCCCACAATGAAGAATTATCCAGCCCAAGATGCTAGCAGTGTCCTGGCTGAGAAACCCCGCAGTAGGCCAGCCCAGGCTTGCCAGCAGATGCTGTCTCCAGCCTGGGAAGCAGGTGTGTCCCACAGACACTCTTTTTTCCTGAAAGGATCCTAGAATCCATATCCTCCTTACCCCCAGCCCCAGCTCATGCAGCTTCCTTGGTCAGATTTGCTCTGTGAAAGGCATGTGCATGGAAGAGGCCCCTCAGCATTTTTTCCAGAGCCCTGTGAAACCTTGATAGAGACCTGCTTCCAAGAGTGAGGGCCTAACTCTGCTCCTGTAGCTTTAGTCCAGGAGAACCATGGGAACCCCCGCTCCTTCATCTTGCTGTCTCCATCCTCATTTCTCTTCAATCCTGTTCCTCCCACCCCGCCTTCTACCATTTCCCCCAGTCCTCCAGAGATTAATGTGATAATTGCCATGCGTGCCTGTTTACGCAGGGAGTGGGTGCACTCACCACCCCCAATTGGGCAGGTTCCCAAAGGAACACATTTCACGGTGTCAGGACTGGTACCGCTGAGCACTCCCTGTGCAGGTGGGCTGCCACCCCCGACTGCTTTCTCTGTCTGTCATTACCCCTGTCACGTGCACATGTACGTGTGTGTGTGTCACTCGGGGAGTCGGCAGGTGAGAAAGACAGAGAGCGGCCAGCCTGCCAGTCGAGGGGCTTGTCTGAGTTGGGTGGGTGGAGAATCTGTACCTTCACTAAGAGGACATTGCCCCAAAGAAAAACACTCTTCTGTAATGGCTAACAAAGAGTAGGTGTTCATGAATGGTGGGGAATGAAGACGCTGCTCAGGCATCCTTCTCTGAAGAGAGAAGCCTGGTTTATCCTTAGCTGCTCCACCACAGCAGGCTGGGCAGGGGAGGTTCCACTGTGAGACTCTTGGGCCAGAAGCCACTGAAACACGTTCAGAAAGCTGGGGGTCCCCTTCCCCAGCATCTTGCTCAGAGTACTTAGCATGGCTGCCTCCGATTCCTGAAGGAAGATGCGCAAGGGAAGGTAGAGTGTGATGATGCCACAGGCAAGCGGCTTGTCAGAGTCGCAGAAGCAGAAGGATTTGGAGACAGGAGCAGAGAACAACTGCTTCTCACCTTGGCAGCCCTAGCCCTTGTCCCCTCCGACTGTGACACAGACACATGGACTCTCGAGAGAAAACACAGTCACAACTCTGAGGTCGCACTGGCTACTTTGTCCTTGGCTTGCTGACTCCCACCTCACGTGGCTTCAGGGCACTTGCTCACTGGAGAGTTGTCGATTACTTTCTTCTTTTTTAATAATGATGAATCAGAAGGAGATTGAAGTTCTAACTAGCATCAGAAAGAACCTTGCCATTTTGGAGGAGGGAAATTTGAAGTCCTTTGCCCCCTTCCTGCTGAGTTATGTCCCCTTGTCCTACTGGATTTGTCATTGATCCATTGACAGGCATGTGAGGTGAGGGTGAGGCCTCCTGGTGGGGCAAGATGGGAGGGGAGTAACCAGGAGGAAACCTGAGGGAGAGGAGAGAAGTGTAGAGGGTGCGGCAAGTCTATTAAAAGGTTGAATAATCTCGGGGAGCTGTCAAGCTGCCTTCTCCAGAAGAATCTTTATACCGTCAGTCATCTGTAATGACCCCCAGGGTATAGTGCCGCTGTCCCCCTAGCCTTTCTTTTTCTCCTTCTCTTCCCCTTCCTCCTCTTTTTCTCATCAAACAGGGACTGATGTCCTAGTGGATGACAGTTTTTCTTAAAAAACAATTCAGACAAACCTTGAGGGGAATATCAGAATGAACAGTTTTGGGGGGTACGTTTTAAGCACGAGAATTCTCTTATTCAAACTGGGGTCGTGTATTGGTTAGTTGACAAATACTGCATGTGCCAGACACTTCACTAGGTACCAGGTATAGAAATGGACAGTTAAGTTTCTTGCCTTAAGGTGGGTTAAATCAAAGCCAAAGCATTGTCACAACACATGGCTAAAGAGACACTGTCTGTCCTTGTTTTTTTCTGGAAGAATTGAGGAGTGTGTTCCAGACTTTCGGTCCATTGGGGAGAGTCCTTTCATCCCTGCATTTCACAGGCTGTATTTCCTCATATGTTAAAAGATTTCCTTCAAAAAAGGGGGTTTCATAATCCAGGCGGTATATGAAATGATATTGAAGTTAGTAATATTTCTTTCATGAGTCTTTTCACAGGCTAAGGGGAAAATATAATCTGTTGTGTTTCCTAAGTTCCTTTGGTTACTGAAGCTCATTTTCCACAGAACACATTAACATCTTACAGATGACTAGCAAGGAGAAGAACACTATTTGGGAAATGCTCTTCACTCTACAGCCTCTCTGGCAAATCATCCCCCAACTGAAATTGCTCTAGCCATCCTTACACTGTAGCTCAGTCACTTCTGGGACCAAAGACACCTTAACAGCATGTTTCATCGTTGCCACTGCTGGCACCAACTGAGGTGTCTTGGCAGCTGAGCCCTGATCTGGGTGTTGGGAGCAGACTTGGTCCTTGCTGCCAAAGAATGCTGGGGGCGGGGGGCACTGGCTAAGCCATATAGTAGATGAAACTTGTTGGTCTGGTGCACCACTGGTGAGCCATCCAAGCTAACCAGTCTTTACAAAATGTTGCATTTGTAATCATGAATAAAGATATAGCTATTTATACAAGGGTCATGTAATCCATCCTTCAGCTTACAGGAAGGACCATGTCTTAACTGTCTCGGAAAAAACAGCTTCCTATGTTCATTAACATCCCTTGTGGCTGGCCCTCAATGTCTAGTTCTTCTACATCTTCTTTCTGATAATCAGGAGCACTTTTCTCTGAGGTCTGGTCCACATCTTCTCTGCTTGCACGTAACTGACCAGACCTGGTTGAACTAAAGAGTTAGATCTTACGCACACTGAAATTGGCAGATCCCCACCTTTGCCCCATCCAGTTCAGCAGGTGTTTGTTTTTAATTTATATTCTGCTTCATTTGCAGTCACCTGTCTCTGAACAGTGTGGGGACAAGACGAAAGACACAAGTTTGGTGAAAGAGGTTGCCTTAAAAGCTATTTTTAATGGAAAAATCTACTATGCGGTGATAGCTTCCACGATCAGTGGGAAGCTATATTCTGTGTACTGACATATTTGAATGGGAGACAGAAGGAAAATTAGGTAATTTTGAGAGAAAAGATAGAATGCCCTAGAAATCCACAGAAAGCATGAGAACAATGAGTCAAAATATGTTTGCAAAGTTGAGTAGTGAGAGGGAGAAAAAGGTAAATCACAGGGACAAAGAAGCATTTTGCCATAGAAATTCTGAGTTCAGATCTTAATTTTACTAATTTAGCCTGTGAATTTTAGGCATGGCATTTGACTTTGGCCTAGTTTCTCCAGTGAACTGAGAATAAAATATCTTTTAACTGTTTCAAATGGGTATTAAAGTTTGCGTGTGAGGGGCCGGTGTGGGAATGGGAGGATTTCAAAGCCCTGCATAGTAAAATGTGATTCAAGGAGACTATTTAGAAAGATTTGGAGTGGATATTATGGGGAGAGAGAGTCAAAGTGAAGTTTAGTTGAGAGGCTCAAGTGTTAGAGTTTTCAAAATGTTCCCAAACTGTTTCTAGATCCTAATAAGGCACCATTCCAAGAGTTGCTGCCTTTGGCTAAGCCATGTGGTATAATCCTCCCTCAACCCCCCACCATTCAAGGGCCTTGCATCTCACTTATAGTATAAAAATCCAGAATATGAATTGCCAAGCACTTTTCACTTCACTGTGTGTTAGCATTAGAGAGAGAGAGGAAGAGATCGCTCTTCAGATTGAATCCTTGTTCTGTCCAGAGCCTTGCTGGGGCCAAGCCTGAGCCTGCTCTGTACTATTGGACTATGATAGAAGAAAGCAAGCCAGAGCTGAGGATCAAGGGCTGAGCAGGATGTGGATGACACTAAGGTCTTCCAAGCAGCCCTGTCAAGGCTCTCGCCAGCATCCATGGAATAGACTGATAGACCTAGCTTGCCTCTGACTTGTTGAGAATTTGTCTGATTTAGACTCCAAAAGCTTGGAACTGACATCACTAAACACTATAAAACCTGTAATTGTTTGCATGATCTTGGAAAAGTACTTGACCTCTCTGGATTCAGTTATCTCAGCTGTTAAGTGAGGGTTTTCGACAATTCCTACTCAGGATCTCGTGTGAGGCTCATGCAGTGTCCTTTCCTCTGTACATGGTGGAATATGAGTTAACCCACAGTAACACCAAATTGGGAATGAAGCAGGCAGTGTTAATTGTATTGCCCTGTGCTTGCTGTATCACCATATATGTGAAGCTTCAGGAAGGGAGACCTTCTGGCAGATGGTTTCGGTAAAACATTAAGGAACCATTTTTCTTTCTTTCAGACCAATGATGCCTTAGGAGCCACCTGGAACTGGCTGTACTTCATCCCCCTCATCATCATTGGATCCTTCTTTGTTCTCAACCTAGTTCTGGGAGTGCTCTCCGGGTAAGCCAGACGTTCCTCTCTCCTCTTAACTTCTTTACAACTGTAAACCAATGCTCCTGACTACCGACCAATTCATTCATCTAATGTTCGTTTAGAAGACATCTACTGAGCAGCCCCAATGTGCCAAGTGCTACTCTAGCAGCTGCGGATACAGTAGTGAACATTGTTCTAATCATGTTTATTTTTCTTAGGAGTTAAAAAGTATTTAAACCACGTGCAACATTGAACATGATATCTAGTGAGAGTTCATGTATCCATCCATCCTTTCATTCAGTCATTGAACAGTCATAGACCTTCTTTGTCAAACACGTGCTGGTTGCGAGGGATATAAAGTTGAATAAGATGTAATCTTTACCTTCAAATGTTATTATTCTGTCATGTATTGAACATCAAACCCCATATTTGTAGCTTGGATTAGTGTACCTCAGTCAGCAAGTACTCAGTGTCCAGTGCCATGGTAAACATTGCAAAGACCACACAAAGTCTCAGGCATGGTTCCTGTCCTTAAGAAAATTGTACTTTGTGGGGCACCTGGGTGGCTCAGTTGGTTAAGTGTCCCACTCTTGATTTCAGCTGGGGTCATGATCTTAGCGTAATGGGATTGAGCCCTGCATCAGGCTCTGTGCTCAGCATGGAGTCTGCGTGGGATTCTTTCTCTCTCTCCCTCTGTCCCCCCCCCACTCTCTCTCTCTCAATAAATAAATAAAATCTTTAAGAAAAAAGGAAATTATATTTTGTAGACAGGACAACACACTTGAAACAGGGAATGGAAATTCTTTTACTTACTAATATAAGCTATAGATCATTTTGTGGAAGGAACAAATCTATTTAGTCTGAAGTTACCAGGAATGGTTTCATAAAGGACTGGGCTTTTGCTTGGATGTACAAGATGTAATAGGATAAAATAGAATATATGTGAGTGAACATTCCAGGAAGGAGAGCACCACACCATAAGCAAAATTGAAGAAATGGGACTCATCTTATAGTGGGAAAAGAATGTTATGCAACCTGACTTATCTAGAGCTGATACTTTACTTTGGGAAATGAAAAGTATAAAATTAGGGCTATTACAGGGGTCAATTTTAGAGGGTCTTAGATTTTTCTAAGCAAAACTGGACTTAATTTCTTCTCTGAGTAGCGTAAGTTCTTCAAGTGGAAATTAGATGGTGGTGCTTCTGTTTCAGCATAGCAGATTGAACCAAGTTTGTCATGTCTTGTAACGCTACTAACACAGGAAATAAATTTTAAGAAGGGCATAGTGATAGAACAAGAGAGGAAATGACAAAGATGAGAGATGTCAATAAAAGTTTTGAAGGCAGAGAGTAAATGGTAACTTATCTAGTGGTGGGAAAGCTGAGGTTTAATTGCCTTTGGTGAGGAATGCCAATTAAAAGGCAAAATGATTGTCCTTCAGAACCTTCCACAGTCCTGGAGAGGCTCGGGAATTGAAGGTACCACGTATATCTGAGAGATGAAGTATGGATGGCACTAAAAACAAGAGGATTGGTCAAAAGTCCTCGTAAGGAACACTTAGATGCCCTCTTGCCCAACACCTTAGATCTCTACCCCCAAACACTTCTGACAGGTATCTGCCCTGCCCAACCCCCCCCCCCCAGCAAAAGTCAGAAGACATCCTGTCCCTGTAGAGGCTGAATCAGAAATTTGCAATGGTAACATCAGGGACTTCTGAGGGTAGGGGTGATATGTTGTAGTGAAGTCCACAAACTGAACATTATGCTGCCAGCCCACATCTACTGTTGACTCCCAAAAGTGGATCAATCTGGTAAGGGTTAGTAGGATTCCTCTGTGGGGAAACTGTCCATCTTAAGAATCTTATGTATGTTGGTATCTGTGGATGGACAGAGAAATGGCTCCCACCCATCACCCTCAGTGAGGCTCCTATTAGTTTCCTATGGCTGCTGCAACAAATTAACACAACTAGATGGCTTTACACTATGAAAGAAATTAATTCTCTCACAGTTCTGGAGGCTAGAGATCCAAAATCTGGCAGGGCATTACTCCCTGTGAGGGCTCAAGGGAGAATTTATTTCCTTCCTCTTCCAGTCCCTGGTGACTCCGAGTATTCCTTGGCTAGTGGCTGCATTACCCTGGTCTCTTCCTCTGTGGTCAAATTGCCTCCTTCTCTTTTGTCTAAAATCTCCCTGGGCCTCTTTCTTATGAGGATACTTGTCACTGGCTTTAGGGTCACTTGTGTATTCCAGGGTGACCTCTTCATTTCAAGACCCTTAACTTAATTGCATCTGCAAGGACTCTTTTTCCAAATAAGGTAACATTCATAGGATCCAGGAATTAGGTTGTGGACATATTTTTTTTTGGCAGGGGCATTCAACCCACCACACCCATCATTCTAGAAGCTGCAGCTATACACAAGAGTTTCCAGTAAGACTTTTGAGACTTGCTCTTAAATATTAATGCACAGCTAGAGATCATCAGCATTTGAAGAAAATGTCCAAAACAAAAGACACAAACAAAATAACACATAGAAAAAAGGATTTAGAGGGAATATGAATGATGCAGGGAGCAAAAGATTTAAAAAGCATGATTGATATCAGCAGAGATAGAAGAGAAATAATTTTATCCACAAAATAACATTGCTATTTAAAAAGGAAAATTTAGCCATTAAGAAGAGTCCTTGGGGATTAATGTAAAATAAATAATGTAAAATTTACATTAATGTAACATGAATTAATGTAAAAATGTAAACATGTAATGAAAATAATGAGGTAGTAAATGGTTGGAATATGAAATTAATGAAATCACCTAGAAAGTAGAACAAAAATAAGAAAATCAAAGGGTTTGTCCATCATTCAACTATTAAGAGTTCCATAAAGAGAACAGGGAAGTGGAGAGAGAGGAATTTACAAAGAAAAATACTAAAAATATTTCCAGAATCAGTAAACACACCTTGCCAGAGTAAAAGGTCTGTGGAAACATGTGCAAGGATATTCTTTCCAGCAGTGGTTTTTGGTGATGGGGAGTTGGAGAACCTGGACATCCATAATTGGGAGGGTAGATAGGTAAGCTGTTGGATGCATACCATGACATACTAGCCTAGTTAGGAGCAAAAAATACCATATACACATGACAACATAGAGTAATTTAAAAGCATAGTTTAGTGAAAACAAGAAGAAATAGCATGGTATAATACCATCCACATAAATAAAAAATACATGCACACACAATACATAGTTTGTAAGAATGCATTCAAATAAAAAGTATACATTGAATACAGGTTTCTCTTGCTATCTGAAAGTAAAACATTCTTTGTTTTTTACTGAAATATAATTAAAATACAATGTTAAATTAGTTTCAGATGTACAACCTATTGATTTGACAATTCTGTACATTACCTGGTGCTTACCATGTAGTCACCATCTGTCACCATACAACATTATTACAGTATTATTGATTACATTCCCTAAACTGTACTATTTGGCTTCATGGTTTATTTTATAACTAGAAGTTTGTAACTCAGTCCTTTTATCATTTTGCCCATCCCCCCACTCACTTCCCCTCTCTGGCAACCACCAGTTCTTTGTATTTAAGAATTTGGTTTTTGTTTGTTCATTTATTTTTTATACTCCACATATAATTGAAATCATATTGTATTTGTCTTTCTCTTTCTGGCTTATTTCACTTAGCATAATACCCTCTAGGTCCATCTGTGTTGTCACAAATGACAAGACCTCATTCTTTTGAATGAAAAAGTAATATTCCATTGTCTATATATACCACATCTTCTTTATCTATTTCTCTCTGGCTGGACACTTGTGTTGTTTCCATATCTTTGCTATTGCAAATAGTGCTACTGTAAGCATAGGGGTGCTTATATCTTTTTAAATTAGTGTTTTTGTTTTCTTTGCATAAATACCTAGTAGTGAAATAATGGATCATATGGTATTTCTATTTTTAAAATTTTGAGGAACCTATACGGTTTTCCACAGTAGTTGCTCCAACTTACAGTCCTACCAACAGTATATGAGGGTTCCCTTTTTTCCATGTTCTCACCAACACATATTTCTTATCCTTTTGCTACTATCCATTCTGATATGATATGTGTGATATGATATCTCATTGTGTTTTTGATTTTCATTTCTTTGATTAGTGATGTTGAGCATCTTTTCGTGGGTCTGTTGGCCATCTGTGCATTGTCTTTAGACAAATGTCTATTCAGGTCCTCTGTCCATTTTTTTAGTATGATTTTTTGGGTTTTTTTTTGTGGTGTTGAATTGAAAGTAGAGCATTCTTATGAAACCTTTCATAAACCAATATGACATGAAGCAAAGAAGCAATTACCAATTCATAAAGGCAAAAATGCTCTTTGGATTTTTTTTCAGTTGTTGAAAATAGGTACTAATGTAGGTTTTTCATGAAAGTGAAGTGGTGTAAAATGAAATTTCAAATACTCAGGGAAACCAGTATATTGTATTGGTAATTTGTATGGCAGAGAGATGGGAGGCAGGTATAGAGAGAGATAAAAGGAAACAAATGAATTTAATTAATTAAAAAAAATGCCCACTGAGCACTTGACACAACTAATGAAAAGAGACCACAGCAAGATAAAGTCATCATAAAATTTCAGAGCCTCTGAATAAAGATAATATTCTAAAAGCTTCTGGTTATTGGAAAGGTGATATATTTTGCCAATGAAAAATCAGGAATTAGGGCGGCTTTGGGTTTCTCATTGATACTGAAAGTTAGAAATGAACAGAGAAGTTCCTAAAACTTTTTGAAGGAAAAAAAATTTCCAAGGTGGAATTCTATACCCAGCCAAAATAGCAATAATTTGTGAGAATGGAATAGCAGTATTTTGGGACACTCTTTCTGAAGTTACTGGAGAATGTGAGTCACTAATTCCTAGAAATAAGGAATTAATTGAAGAATGAGAAGGACATGATATTCATGCAAACAAGGGATTCAATAGAGGAGAGAGGCAAAGGGGATTCCAAGATGATGATGAGGGGAAGTCTACCATGACA